CTCTTTACGGTCTCGCCCCCCACTCGTGTTCTCCCGGGCCCCGCGAGCGCTCACAGCCGCTCTGGCCCCGCCCCGTCCCGTGCCGCCGGAAGCGGCGCCGCGCGAGGGCTGCTGGGAGTTGTAGTTCCTCAATTCCCGGCGGCCACCACAGGGCGGACCCTCGGCAGAGCCCCCGATCCCCGGACTGCGCCCCCCGCCCCATAAATGCGCGTGTAAACCACGCTGCGCCGTCTCCGCACCCCATATATTGTGTGCAGCGCCCAGCAATCGCTTCCTGCATCCCAAATGTCTATGTGCGTTCCCTGTACCCCAAATATCCGTGTGCACCCCCATGAACTGCTTTTTGCACCCCAAATATTCATGCGCAAACCTCTACAACCCAAAYATTCATGCGCACCACCCCCTGCAACCCAAATATCCTTGTGCACCCCATGAACCATCTCCTGCACTCCAAATCCTCCTGCTCCATCCCAGCACACCAAACATCCACCAAGTACCCACAAACTATCCCCCCCCCTCCCCCCCGGCACTCCAAATACCCATACAGCCCCTCTTTGCACCCCAAAACCACCCTCCGAGCACCTCCTACTTCTCACAGCAGCCCTGCACTCACTCCCTACCCCCAAATTCTCCTGCACAACCCCAAAGTGTTCTTGGTGCCCCACTCCATTCCAGATGCTCCAGGGGGTGGAGCTGGGAGCATCCCCCACCCGGGACAGCAGGAGCACATGGGGGTACAGGGGAATTTGGGTGCGATTTTTGGGGACAGAGCACCCCCAAAAGGGCCCCCCTGTRTTCCCCACACCTCGGGCAGCTCAACAGTTAAAGGGAAGTGGCTGGAAGGAAGAGGAAATCTCAGCAGGAGCAAGACCGGGGGACAGCCAAGGGCAGTGGCTGGAGATGAAGCCGGAAGGTGCCGGAAGGTGCCGGAGCCTTTGCCGAGGAACCAGGACGTGCTGGGAACCCAGGGGGGAGCCAGGATAGAAAGGGGCCCCCCGTGTGGAACTGGGATAGAACGGGACGCTTGGTCTGGAACCGCGATGTCTCAGAGCTCCATTGGGGAAGCAGGACATTCTGGGACCTCCATCGTTGAACTGGGACAGACTGGGACTCCCAGTGTGGGACTGGRACATGCCGGGAGCCCAGGGAGCCCCAGGCAAGAGGATCCCAGCATGCAGAAGGTGAGTGGGCACTGCGCGTGTCAGGCACATCCCAGGGCTGATCCCATGCAGCCATGGGGCTCCTCGTGGGCTGCACTGGGCTGCCCTCGGTCTGGTCCCAGGCTCCGGTGTGGAATCCCCGGTCTGGACACCAGAATGAGGCCGTGGCCAAGCAGGCTGGTGGCCAAACCTCATTCCTGCCCCAGGAAACCCCGATGAGTGCCACGCACTCTGACCCCGTTGGCCAGGGCCCTGACATCCTGCCCTGGCCCCTGCAACTCCCATGTGAGGAGGAGGAGGAGGAGGATGGAGAAAGGGATGATGATGATGTTGATGATGAGGATGAGGATGAGGATGAAGAGGACATGGCAGGTGATACCGAGGACATCCTGCACTACGAGCAGCGCACTGCAGGGCTGCTGGCCAGGGTGGCCCAGCGACAGCAGCGGCACCACCCTGCCAGGTACCAGCACTGCTCCGGCCACCCGCAGGGACACCGAGACCACGCTGCCCCTTTACTCTGCCCTTTGTCCCCCACAGGAAGGAAGAGGATGGCTGGGAGGCCACTGTCAGTGTCCCCACTGCTAGCCCAGCACCACGACACCRCGATGGCACCAGGCTGGATGGTGAGTGCTGAATTCCATACCACCCGTTGCCGTGCCACTCCATGCTGTCCCATTCCTGATCCTGGCCATGCTCCCTGTCCCCAGCGAGCAGCCCAGATCTCTTCGAGGACCTCCAGCATGYCGTGAGCTCCCTGGAACGCGTCGTCTTCTCCCGACACCGGCAGCTGCCGGCGCAGCCGCTGCCTGGCAAGGCCTGGCACAGGGTGGTCAAGGTGAGCCACACCACCCCTGCAGTGCCAGCACTGAGGGCATGGACACTGACTGACCAGCCTGGTATTCCCAGAGCCTGGAAGAGCTGAACCGGACCCCTGGCTGGGCCTGCCGGCTGTGGCCAGAGGTGGCAGTGGGCCCAGAACTGCCGTCAGAGGTGGCGGTGGAGGCAGCGAGGAACGCGACCCTGCGGGCGGCCCTGGGGCACCGGGACGAGGAGCTGGGCCAGGCCACGACTGCGCTGCAGGCGCTGCGGGGTGACCGGGACCGCCTGCAGGGCAAGGTGGGTGTGGGGGCCGCGGGGTGGGGGCACCGGGTGCCACCCTCGGGGTGCCACCGGAGCGGCCCCAGAGCTCACCGCGGTGCCTCGTTCAGGTGCAGGAGCTGCGGGAGGCTCTGTCCAGGTTGGAAGAGCCAGGAGGATTTGGCAGCGCCAGCCCCAGGCTCAGCGACAGCCCCGGGCTCAGCAGCCCCCCGGGACGTTTGGTGAGTGAGGGGCCGGGGCACAGGGGGAGCTGGGTGGGGTGGGAGGGGATCGTGCCCTGGCACGGGGCTCTGTCTGTCCCCTCTGCAGGACGTGACTCAGGGTGGCGACGATGCTCAGCCCCAMGGGATAAAATCCCATGGGATGCAGCCCCACACCCCTCTCTCGCCCCAACCCTTGACGGGAGCGGGTCGAGACCAGGAGGAGCGGCTGCAGCAGCTGCAGGGGTGAGTCCCCCCCATCTCCCCCGAGCGCCCTGCGGTGGGGAAACTGAGGCACGGTGCCGCTGACCGGGATGCCGGCGGTGCGCAGGTGCCTGGGGAGACTGCAGGAGGTGAACCGGGAGCTAGCGGCCGCGCTCCACGAGTGCAAGGGCGAAGCGGAGCGGCTGAGCATGGAGCTGGGGCAGCACGAGTCCCGCAGCACCGCCCTGCGCCTGGCGCTGCGCTGCAGGTGGGGACGGGAACGGGGATGGGGACGGGGACGGGGACGGGGACGGGGACAGCCTCCCTGAGCCCCTCGTCCCACAGCGAGCATTGTGGGGGGGCCTATGCCACTCTCCTGGACCTGGTGCGGGCAAAGGTGGCATCGGAGGATGTCGCCCATGGGGGTGAGTAAGTGTGGGGGTCATGGGCAATGCTGGGGGATATATTGGGGCATACTGGGAGGGTTATTTGGGGGGATACTGGTGAATTTTTGGAGGATGGTGGGGGGATACTGGGGAGGATACTGGGGTCATACTGGGGAGTTACTGGGACGATGTTGGGGGGAAACTGAGACTGCTGGGGAGATACTGGGGAAATAAGGGGTGCGGGGGGGGGTGCTGAAGGGATGCAGGAGGGACACGTGGGGATATGGGGGGATGCCCAAAGGATACTGCAAGTGTCCTGGGAGAACACGGGGGTACGCACAGAGGATGTGGGGACCCTTGTGCCCCGCACAGCCCCTGTGGGCACCCCCCGGGCAGGGACACCTGCCCGCACCTCGCCCGCCCCGTGCCCAGGAGCCGCGGCGAAGCCGAGCCCGGGACACGGATCTGGGTCCAACCCCACCCCGACTGAGGCACCGCGGCTACCGGGACCAGCAAAGCCGGACAGCCGCGAGGACACCAGCGACAGCGGCTCCCCGGGGGTGCAGAGGTAGCCGAGGGTCGCGGAGGTCACGGCCCTGAGCCACCCCTGGGGTACCCTAGTGCCCACCCCTCCTCATCCTCACCCCACAGCCCCCAAGGGATGGAGGAGGGAGCCCTGAGGGAACATATCCAGCGGCTCCGCGCCGAGCAGGCGGCAGTGGAGGGGTCCCTGCTGGACGCCCCCGAACCCTCCGGCCCCCCCTGCGGGCGGGACCCCCGAGCTCGGGCCGAGCGGGCACTGCGGGACGCGCGGGCACTGCTGTCCGGCTGGAGGCGGCCGGAGAAGGCGGAGCTGCTGCCGGAGCTGGCGATGCTCAAGGTGCGATTTGGATCCCTCTCTGAATCCTTCGGCGCGGCGGGAGGCGGCAGCGCCGTGCCTCAGTTTCCCCCGCCCGCTGGTGATGTCGCTGCCGTGCCCAGGAGGCCATGGCCGAGCTGAGGACGCGGCTGCAGCTGGCGGAGAGGGAAAAGCGTGCTCTGGAAGTGCTGGTGGCCGGGCAGGGACCGAGGGAAGCCACCCTGCGCCTGGTGCTCCAGCACCTGGAGTGGGAGCGGGATGGGCGGGATGGGCCCTCCAGCAGCTCCGGCAGCAGCGAGGTAGGGACGGCTCCCATGGGACACTTTCTGGGATTCGGGGGCTCCCGAGGGATGGGAAACACCCCCTCAAACCTCTGCAGGACGCTCAGATTGGCCGGGGCACAGCGATGGCTCCACAGAATCCTCSGGATCCGGAGAGAATGAGGGAGGAGCTGTTTCGCATCCGAGCCAGGTGAGGGATCTCAGTGGGCTGGGAGTGGTGTGGTACTGGGAATGGTGTGGAACTGGGAGTCGTGTGTAACTGGGAATGGTGTGGGACTGGAAATTGTGCTGGTGTGGGCAGAGTGGGCACTGGGCATGGTGGGCACTGGGCACTGTGACATGGCTGTCACACGGCTGTCCCCAGGACAGAGGAGCTGCATCACCGGGCTCAGGAGCTGGTGCTGTCCCTGGAGCATGGCAGCGCTGCCAGCCGTGCCCAGCAGGCACAGAGCATCACGGTCACCATGGATCTCTTCCAAGCACACAGGTGGGCACGTGGCACCCGCCTCTCTGCTGGGTGGGCACTGGGTGCCCTGGGACCCCTCTGTTCCCTCAGTCCTCTTGGTCCCTTGGATCCCTGGGTCACCTGGGTCCCATCAGCACCCTGTGTTCCCTGGATCCCTTGAGTCCCTGGGGCTCCCTGTGTCCCCTGGATTCTCTGAGTGCCCTGGGTCCCCTGGCTGCCTTGTGTCTCGCGTGCCCCTTGGATCCTGTGGATCCCCTGGGTGCCCTGGATCCCTTTGGTTCCATATGTCCCTTGGATGCCCTGGATCTCCTGTGTCCTCTGRATGCCCTGAGTGCCCTAACTGCCCTCGGTCCTCTGACTCCCTTTGGTGCGCTGGCTCCCCTTGGTCCCTTGAATCCCTGGACCCCCTGGCTCCCTAAATCCCTGGATCCCGCGGTGCCGAGCGGGTGCTGAGCGTGCCTCGCAGAGCCCTGGCCCTGGCATACCGCGGGGCCCGGCGCAAGCAGGCGGAGCAGCTGCGGCGCCTGGAGGCGCAGGCGGGAGCCCTGCGCAGGCAGCACGGCCGGAGGGAGCAGGCGCTGGCCCGAAAGCTCCGCAGCCTCGAGCAGGGCACGGCCGGCAGCGAGACCTGCATCTAGAGTGCCCCCAGAAACCCTGCAGACCGCCCAAAAACCCTTGGAGACTGCACAAAATCCACGGAGACCCCACAAAACCCCCYTGTCSCCMSGGGAGGTGACTGCTGTACTCTCTCAACAATAAACTCATGGCTCAGCTGCACCATGGTTGGGGTTTGGGGGGGGTTGGAGGGGGCTCAGCTGCGGTTTGTCCCAGAGGGATTGGGAACAAAGGACGGCCCCCCCCCCCCGCGCTGTTCCTGCTGTGTCCCAGCACAGATGAAGCCATTCAGTTGTCCCCGGCGTGGGATCAAAGGTGACGGCAGTGGCCGTGGCGTGGGGCCCATCCATATTCAGGAGGAAGAGGAGCGGTGACCCCAAGCCAGGAGCATCCTCATGGAGCAGGGGGGGGAGTGGAGGGGATGCTCTGCCTGAACCCATCCATCCTGGAATGATGGAATACAGGGATAAGGGGAGCAGAGATGAGCCGGGCGATCCAGGGGATGTGCTGTGGGGTAGAGGGAAAACTCAGGCRTGGAGGTGGGGATGGGTTTGGTCTGGATCTTCCTAGAGGGATCCTGCAAGAGAGTTCAAGGCTCCATGGATCAATATCTGGAACTCCAGTGGTGGAGAGGGCAGGGAGAGGTAGGCGGTGGTGCGAGGATTTGAGGTGCAGGGATGCGGAAAATTAAGGATTCAGGGATGCGGGGCTGTGGGGATGCAGGGATGCAATTGAGCAGGGACACGGGGATGCGGGATGCAGGAATGTGGGGATGATGCAGGATTCAGGGAAGCAGAGCTGTGAGAACTCAGGGACTGGGGATCCAGCTCATCCCCGGAGCTGCCCGTGCCCTACACTCCCACAGGAACCTCCCGAAATGGGGTCACCTCGCTGTGCCTGGCGGYGCTGGGCCCGGATCAAAGTGCGATGCTTCTCCAGGGAGCGGGGACGGCACTGAACTGGAGCAGCAGGGCCTCGGGGAGGTGCCACTCCGGGGCACTGGAGCCTCTGCTCGTCCCCGGACCTGGCTCCGGTGGGGACCGCGGCGGCAGGGGGGTCCTGGGGGCCGCTGCCAGTGGCGTGGAGGGGCTGACCTGTGGGTTGAAGGTCAGGGCTTGGCTCTTGGACCCCTTTTCAGATTCAAATGCGCACCCGGGGGCTTTGTGTGGGGTCAGGCTCCACCAGAGCCGCATGAAAGGCAGGGGCATCCGGGGCCACCCCTCCCCTGAGTGTCAGCAGTGGGGAGGGCAGGTGGCACCTGGCACTGTCCCCTCACTGCCACGTCCCGCTGACCCGGGGCCACCCCTAGGCTTCTCATGGGGATGCTTCTGGAGGTGCTCAGAGGTCAGATCACCCCCGGCCCATCCACAGTGTCACCTCTCCTTGGGGTGACATGGGGGATACAAAGTGCGGGGGAGAGTGTGGTGACCCCCACCCAAGGTTTGCACCCTCAAGGCACATCAGGGGTAGGGGCAGAGTGGCTGAAAACCAGAGATTTGACCCAAAATTCCCTATTCCAGTCATGCGGGTCTGTGCTGGGGTTGGGGGAACGGACAGGCAGAGGGGTGGGGGGTCCCTATGGAAGGTCCCATGGCCAGCAGCTCCCATGTGGGACTGGGCTGGGAGAGGGAATGGGTTAACTGGAATGGGCTTTTTGGGGTTGGGCTGGTGGTGCCGGCATCTGGTTCCCATCTCTCCATCGGGGCTGGCTCTGGCTCTCTGCAGTGGGGTCATCCAGGTGGGTTTGTCCTTTGGAAAGAAGCCGGGATGATTTTAGGGAGCTTTTCCCAGTTTTTTGGTGCCACCAGCACAACCTCAAACCCACCCCCATCCTGTACATTTAAGCTGCAAACCCACAACGACCCAAAGGCCTCTGCAGCCACATCTGACCCTGGAAAACCCTTGGCAAGCCCTCCATGGTGCTGGACCCTTCCCAGGGAGGCACCGGGGCGGCCCCAAGGGAGCCGGGGGCCCTTTTGTGGGGCAGGAGGCAGCAGAGCAGTGCGAGGAATGAGGAGGAGGAGGAGGAGGAGGAATTCCTCCAGAGATCAAACGCCTGCCCCAACTGGACACCGACGTCAAAACAAACCCAGCTCCCAGCGCGGGGCCGGCAGTGGCGCGGGGGGACAAGATCCAATTTCCTTCTTTGTTCCTGGATTATTATTTTCTTTTCCAGGGGGTATGGGGCAGGGGACGGAGCAGCAGGGAAAGGGCCATAAATCACAGCCTGACATAGGGGAAAGGGCAAGAAGGGATGGCTGCAGGTGGGGGTGACCCTGCTGTGCCCACATTGGGACCCCCCTCCCAAAGTCCGGCCCAATCCCCTGCTGGGGGTTATTCCGTGACCAGAGGGCACTGGGGTCATTCTGAGCAGAGTCCCCTAAATCCAGGGAGTTTTCTTTTATTTACAGCCATATAACCCTTACTGATACACCCCAACTTCAGGCTCAGCGCTTGGCTTTGCCTTTCCTTTAATCCCGGCCCTGGCACATAGATCGGGAATGCCAAGGTCCTGCCATTGTCCCCTGCTGGGGACAAACCTAACCTGGCAGCATGGGCATTTCCAGCCACTCCCTCTCATTCTTGCGGATACCAGGGGGACTCTGTGGGGGCACCTCATGTCCGCCCCGTGCCCTGCCTTCCGCACTTTGCCCCTGGCTGTGGCAGTGCGGAGAGTTTGGCCCCGGGTGAAAGGCGGCGGCAGGGCGGGGTGGCTGGGGTCAGGCACTTTTTTCCCCGCAGGGTTTATCCCGTGGTTAATGATTCCCAGGAAACCCAGCACCCACCTGGGAACCCACACCTGGCCGGCACCGACGGGTCCGACTGGATCGACCGCATTGCAGGCCGACTTTATGGGGCCATGGGAGCTGGTCCCAGGTCACTTCCAGCCCTTTGCTGCTTCCCGGGGGTCGTGGCACCCCAAGGAGCCCGGGATCACCCTCAGTGGCCTCGGGAATTAAAGATKCCACCCTGGGAATCATTCTGGGAGTGGGAATTGCTTCCCAGCAGCCCCCCCAAGGACATCACCCTCCCCAGTCCCCGTCCCCAAGGGCGTGGATCTGCCCAGGGGTCCCCGAGGTCACTCGATGGGGGGAACAAGGCACAGCATTGGACCTGCATGCCGGGATCCTGGTGCGATGCCAGAAACCCCGAGCCACGCTGGGCTCCTCTTCCAGTACCAGGCTCCCAGCTTGATGTTGGGCTCCCGGTTTGATCCCAGAATCCCAACGCCACGTGGGGCTCCTGTTTCAATCCCTGTTCCTGGTACAACGCTGGGCTCCCAGTTTGATGCTGGGATCCCGGGGCTGATCCAGGCTCCCAGTACAACGCCAGGCTCCCAGTTTGATGCTGGGATCCCGGGGCTGATCCAGGCTCCCAGTACAACGCYRGGCTCCCAGTTTGATGCTGGGATCCCGGGGCTGATCCAGGCTCCCAGTACAACGCYRGGCTCCCAGTTTGATGCTGGGATCCCGGGGCTGATCCAGGCTCCCAGTACAACGCCAGGCTCCCAGTTTGACTGTGGGATCCCAGTGCCACCTCGGACTCCCGTTCCAGTGCCCGGCTCCCGTTGCAATCGGGGGCTCCCGGTTCCCGCAGAGTCCCACTGCCCAAAATGCTGCGGGGGTTCGGGAGGGGCCACACACAGCCACCTCCGGTAGCCAAACCTCGCGCTCCACGCCCCCGACCCCGACACGACCGATCCCACCGCCTCCACCGGCCCTTAGCGGCCGTTACCGACCCCCGGGGCGCGAGGGGAGGCGGGGGCGGCCCGGTGCGGCAGCGGGGCCGGGACCAGGGCAGGACCCGGGAGCGGAAGGGGAGGAGGACGGGGAGGAGCATCCAGGGCGGCCACCGCGGCAGCGGCTGAACTTTGCTCTTTCACGGGAGGCGGAGAGAGCCCCGGGGCTCGGCGGAGCCGGTCCCGCCGCACCCGCAGCCGCACCGGGACCGGGCTGCGTGCGGCGGCGGGGCCCGGGTGGGCGAGGGCGCACCGGGGCAGCGCCGCCCTCTCCCTCCTCCTCCTTCTCCTCTCCTCCTCCTCCTTCCAGCCGGTGCCGCGGAGCGGAGGAGCCACCGGGGGCAGGAGCGGCCCCCGCATGCGGCCGGTGCCCGCGGGGGGATGCGCCGCGCCCCGGCCCCGCCGCCGCAAAGTTTCTGCGGGGCCCCCGCCGTGAACCGGGGCGGGGAGGAGGAGGAGGAGGAATCCCTGGACAAAACGCCTCCCTGGGCAAAAGGGCTCGCAGGCACAGGCACCTAAAAAAAAAAAAAAAACCTTAAAAAAACCCCAAAGCGGGGCCCGCCGCTATTTTCCCCGCTCTCCAAAACTTGCCGAACTCGTTGCGAGCAGGAAGGCACCGGGCGGCTCCGCTCGATGCGGCGGCGGGGCCAGCACTGAGCCCGGTGCCGGAGCCATGGCCATGGTGGCCGGCGGCTGGGGCGAGCCCAACGGCGGCGGCGGCGGCGGCGGCGGCGGAGGGGAGGAGGCGGCGTCCCCCGCGGGCGGCGGCAGCGACGCGGAGCACGGCGAGGAGGAGCGGGCCGGGGCCGCCGTGGACTGCGTGGTGTGCGGGGACAAGTCCAGCGGGAAACACTACGGGGTCTTCACCTGCGAGGGCTGCAAGAGCTTCTTCAAGCGCAGCATCCGCAGGAATCTCAGCTACACCTGCAGGTAAAGGCGCGGGGGACACCGGGGGGACACCAGGAGCGATGGCGGGGTCTGGGGTGGCCCCCGCTGAGGGTCACCGGGAGACCTCTGCGGTGGCCTCTGCACTGGCCCGGCTGTGGCTGCGTGGTGGCCTCTCTGCGGCGGCAGTGAGGGCGGCGGGGGGGCCGGATGGGGGTCCCCCAGTACAAACCAGTGGCTTTCAGTGCTGCCCGAGGGTCCCCCGGTGTAAATTAGGCGTCTCCAGTCCAGCTCGAGGGTCTCCCAGTAGGGCACAGGCAGATTCTTGGTGCAGCACAGGGGTTCCCCAATGTGGGAAGGGGTTTCCCAGTCCAGCCCAAGAATCCCCCCAGTCCATCCCAGTATTCTCCAGTCCAGCACTGGTTTCGCCCCTGCCCTGCGCCCCCCACGGTCGCCCCCATCCCCGCGCAGTCCCAATCCATCCCCRGGGATGCATTCCCAGCGTTCCCGGTGCTCCCGCGGCCCGGCCGGTGTCCGGATCCTCGTCATCCCCGCGGGAATTTTCGTGCCCATGAGTCACTCCGGTCACGGCCGCTGCCCCCGCATCGCGCCGGACTCCAATCGGGAGCCGCTGGAACGCCGGGAGCAGGGATCCACCGGGATCCGGGGGCGTACCGGGAGCAGGGATCCACCGGGGAATACTGGGAGCGGGGATCCGGGGGGATACCGGGGACAGGATCCGCCGAGAGACAGGAAGCAGGGATCCACTAGGGTCTGGGGAGGGGTATCAGAAGGAGGGATCCAGTGGGATATACGGAGCAGGGATCTGCTGGAATGCCSGGAGCAGGGACCGGGGAGATGCACCTCCTGCCCACCGGGATGTGACCCCCCGGCAAGTTTGGAGCTGCCGAAAACTCGGGAATTCCCTGGGTTTGGAATGAGGATGGCACATGGAAGGGAGACCCCCAATTCCAGACGGCTCCCGGAGAGGGAAATCCCTCCCTGGGGGGGGGCGCATCCAAGTGTTTCTAGCAGTGCTTCCTGAACCCTTGAGGGCGGCACGGGGGTCCCCATGCCTGCATCCCGCCCGAGAGAGGCTCTGGATGTTTTGGGAGCAGGGAAAAGGCTCGGGAATCATCTTAGAGCTGCTCTGCTCCCGTTTGGGCGGCCTAGATTCGCCCTCCCCCGTTCGCTCCCGGCAGCTCCCAGCTTCAATCCCAGCTGACGTCAGCTCCCGGTCCTGGATGGGACCCCCGGGGCCACCGGCGGTCCCTTCCCGTGTCCCCAGATCCTGGCAGCGCTTCCAGTTCCCCCACTGTGGACGCGGGAAGAGCACGGTTCCCAGCCCTGCCTCAGTTTCCCCGCTGGATCTGCGAGGATGCTCCGGATTAGGGATGAATGATTTGAGGATGGGGCTTTGAGGAATTCCACATTCCCGGAACAAAGGGAAAGGCCGAAGCAAATCCCTGGGAGATGCGGGGTAGGGGGGAGCTGCACACCAATGTGGCAGCACCGGGATCACGCTGGGATTTACCTGGCTCTCCACACGCTGGGATTTGGGGTATTTGAATATTTCGGGCTGTTTTTTTTTCTTTTTCTTTTTCTTTTTCTTTTTTTTTTTTTTTAATTTTTTTTTTTTTTTTTTTTTTTTTTTTTTTTTTTTTTTTTTTTTTTTTTTTTTTTTTTTTTTTTTTTTTTAATGCCGGTAAGTGATTTGGAAACTGTTGAGGTTTTCCTAGTAGGGAGAGGGGCCAGGAACAAAGCTTCCCCGGCAGCTCCAAGGATCTGTTTTGTTCCAGGAGTCAAAAGCAGCCCCAGGCCCCGATGGCACTCATTTAAATATTAAAAGTGACTCGGATTCCCTTTAATTCCTGCACTCGCTAATTACCCGCTCTAATTACATAATTAGTGAGGCCCAGGCCTTTTGGAACCTTCCAAGTTTCACAGGTCACTGCCGCCTTTTCCATTGGAAAACACCAGAGGGGATTTTTGGGGAGGGGCAGCCAGGGGGGTCTGGGACTGGAAGGGAGATGAGGTGATTTCAGGGGGGGCCATTTCCTGATAGGAATTCCAGCTTTTGGAGTCGGGTAGGGATTGAGGGGATTCCTGTTGGGATTCCAGCCAGGTGGGGTTTGTCCACTGGGAAAAATCTGGAATGATTTTTGGGAGCTTTTCCCAATGTCCCAAGACCATGGTGAGGATGATCCAGGAATATTTGTCCATTAGGAGGGAAATAAGATCAATTTGGGGAGCTTTTCCTGGTGTTCCAATGCCATGGTGGAGTCAGCCAGATGATTTTGTCCATTGGGAAAAATCTGGAAGGATTTTCCCAGTGTCCCAAGACCACAATCAGGATCACCCAGGTGATTTGTCCACTGGAAAAGATCTGGGATGATGTTTGGGAGCTTTTCCGGTGCCTCAAGCCCATGGTGGGAGTTATCCAGGTGATTTTATCCATCAGAAAAGATCCGAGGTGATTTCGGGGCGCTCCCAGGCCTTCTTGGGCATTCCTGGCTGCCGCATCCGAGGAATGGAGTGGCGGATGAAGATGTCAGGGCTGCTCTGATCTGTCCTGGCTGCTCCCGCTTTTGATCAGGAGCACGTTCCTGAGCGCAGCGGGGATGTTCGGGATGAATTAATTCCGGCCGCTGGCGCTGTGGGAATCCCCTCTGGCCTCACCTCTGGAGCCGTGTAGGGATTCGGGGAGATCTGTGTCAGGATTCCCATGCACAGCCCAGCGGCTGCCGGAGCTTCCCGGCCTGGCTTTATCTGCTTTAATTCATCCCATGTTCCTGGCTCCCACCCCTTTAGAGCTGGCATGGGATTTCCCGCTGCATGACCCCCTGGAAATGGGGTTTTTGGGGGGTTAGTTGCTAGTAATTCCTGTGGGATTGTCACTCCCTCCTGCAGCAGCTGGTTTTGGAGGTGTCCTGGAGCTGCATATCCTGGATCAATCCTTGTGCCAGGACCCCTTTTCCAGCCTCCGAAGGGTTTTGGGAAGTTGGATGTTGATAATTCCACAGTGGATAATTCCACTCTCTGCTGGAGCAGTTGGTTTTCGGGGTGGATTCTCCATATCCAGGGGTGAATGCATGAGGCAGGACCCCTTTTCCAGGCTCTGAGGGATTTTGGAAACATTCCTCTATCCCAGAATCCCAGTAGGATTTGGGGACAGTGCTGTCTGAGGGGTCTCGGGCCCAACCATGCCCCACTCCCCCCACTGCCCCTCCCCTCCACCCCGGTAGGAAATAGCTGGAATTCCTTGAAATTCCAGGCATGTCTGGCTGGGAGGGGAGAGCTGCTTCTATGGGATCCAAGGATTGGATTCCAAGGGTTTTCCCAGTTTTCCAGCAGCGCTGGATCCTGGAGGGGAAAAAGGTAGGAAACAGCCATTCCTGTCAAATCTGGAGCTAAAGGGTGGGAAGGGWAGAGGTGGAAGAGCTCGGGAAGGGGCTCAGGGATTCCCAGGATAGGGGGTGTCTCACTGCTGGGAATTTCAGCTGATCCCAATCYGTCCTACAGATCCAACAGGGATTGCCAGATTGACCAACATCACCGCAACCAATGCCAGTACTGCCGCCTCAAGAAGTGCTTCCGAGTGGGAATGAGGAAGGAAGGTATGGGAAAACTTCCTGAGGGATCCAGAGGAATCCCTGTTTACAGCAAAACAGCCCCATTTCCCCCCCTCTTTTTGTGGGGATTTTTTGGTTGGGTTTTTTTTTCTGCCCTCTGAGCTTGGAGCAGATCAAGGGACATGCCTGGAGTTGGGTTTGTGCCCATGGAGTGGGATGGACTCCTGGATCCATGGAAGTCCCACAGTCTGCTTCCCATTCCCTCCCTATCACCCCAGGCAGTGCAAATCCCAAATGCTTCCTGGGCTGCAGCATCCAGGATGAGGTGTTTATCCCCCAAAATGCCAGGTTTATCTCTAAGAATCCYGAGTTTATCCCTAAGAATCTCAGATTTTTCCCAAAAATCCTAGATGTATCCCTCAAAATCCCAGTTTTGTTCCCAAAATCCCATATTTATCCCAAAAAATTTCAGATTTATCCCCAAATTCTTAGGTTTATTCCCAAACATCCCAGGTTTATAGCTAAAATTCCAGGGGCATTAATAGGAGCAGGAAAAAGGGTCTGGATCCTGGAGGCTGGAAATTCCCTGTTTTCCACAGCATTTGGGATGAATCAGAGCTTGCCTTGGAGCAACCCATAAATCAGTTACCTGGGATTGAGCAAATCCTGAGAATAATGGGAATGGGAAGGAGCCCAAAAATGGCTTTTCCTGCCTGCGGTTAATGCCAGAAGTGCTCCAGTGCTTCCAAGGGGGAATTTTGTTTGGGAATCATGGATTGCTGCCTGGCCATGAGCTTGGAGGGGATGATTCCAGAGGGATCAAAGGGATCCTGGAGTCGGAAATGTTTCAGGATTTGGGATTTTAAAGGGGTGAGGGCAGTTTTCTCTGTGAGGCTGCTCTTTATCCTTTGGAATGGCGGAATTCAGGATGATGAGAGGGGAAATTTGGGCAGCTTTTCCTGGTGTTGTAAGGCCATGGTGGGGGTTATCCAGGCGGGTTTGTCCCTTGGAAAAGATCCCAGATCATTCCAGCTGGGTTCATCCATCGGAAAGGATCTGGGATGATTTTAGGTGCTCCAAGGCCCTACTGAGCCCCTTTTATCCATTCCAAAACACCTGGCAAAGCCCTCTGCGGCACACGGTGCCCCGTGTGGGATTGGGATGAAGATCCAGCAGGATCCTATGGGATCAGGAGGAAGATCCAGCAGGATGCTGCGGGATCAGGACGAAGATCCAGCATCACCCCAACCCTTGCCCTCCTTTCGCAGCCGTCCAGCGGGGCCGCATCCCGCCCAGCCATGCCAGCAGCAGCCCCCATCCCCTTCCCGGAGGGGAATTCCTCAACGGGCAGCCGCTGTCGGAGCTGATTTCCCAGCTCCTCCGCGCCGAGCCCTACCCCGCCGCCCGCTACGGCTCCCAGTGCGCCCAGCAGGGCAGCGTGATGGGCATCGACAACATCTGCGAGCTGGCCGCCCGCCTGCTCTTCAGCACCGTGGAGTGGGCGCGCAACATCCCCTTCTTCCCGGAGCTGCCCGTGTCGGAGCAGGTGGCTCTGCTGCGGCTGAGCTGGAGCGAGCTGTTCGTGCTGAACGCGGCGCAGTCGGCGCTGCCGCTGCACATGGCCCCGCTGCTGGCGGCCGCCGGCTTCCACGCCGCGCCCATGGCYGCCGACCGGGTCGTGGCCTTCATGGATCAGATCCGGCTCTTCCAGGACCAGGTGGAGAAGCTCAACCGGCTGCAGGTGGACTCGGCCGAGTACAGCTGCCTCAAGGCCATTGCGCTCTTCACGCCGGGTACGGTGCTTTTGAGCTGGGTCTGGAGGTGGGGATGAGGAGGGCATGGTTTTTCCATGTTTTCCCGAGGGTTTGGGGGCTTGAGAGTGAGTAGGGAGAGATTGTTCCATGTTTTTCCAAGGGATCGGGATCCAGGGAGCAGCTGGAGGTGGGAATGAGTAGGGAGAGGTGGTTCCATGTTTTCCTGAGAATTTGGGAGTTTGGGAAAGAGTAGGGAGAGGCTGCTCCATGTTGTTCTGGATAAGTTCTTGTTTGTCCCTCTGGATTCAGGGGTCATTCCCTGTGACCTTCAGGAATACAAACACTCCCCAAAACACTGGGGATGTTCCACCCCCCCCATCCCTTGGCTTATCCCGCAAAGCTGATGTGAGGTTTTGTGGCTGTGCTGATAACTTCCGGGATGCTCCAACCCCGATCCCTGTCCTTCCCCAGACGCCTGTGGGCTCTCGGACCCGGCACATGTGGAGAACCTGCAGGAGAAGGCCCAGGTGGCGCTGACAGAATACGTGCGATCCCAATACCCGTCGCAGCCCCAGCGCTTCGGGAGGCTCCTGCTGCGGCTCCCGGCGCTCCGGGCCGTTCCCGCTGCCCTCATATCCCAACTTTTCTTCATGCGGCTCGTCGGGAAAACTCCCATCGAGACCCTCATCCGGGACATGCTGCTGTCCGGGAGCACCTTCAACTGGCCCTATGGGACGGGGCAATAGGGACGGAGACTCCGCCAAGAGGGGAAAAAATATATCCCGGTAATGSTAGACGTGGATTCCCTGAACTGTCGGCTCTGGAGCTCATCCCGTTCCCATGGGAACAGGGATGCTCTCTCTGGAGTAGCGGGGCTGTCCCCAAAAAGATTGYGGGGCCCTGGCATTGTTGCCAAAAGTTTTGGGATCCCGGCATTGTCTCCAGAAGCTGTGGGATCGCCCTAAATCTGAAGGTTCTCCCGGTTGGAATCTGGACTCTTCTGTCCCCTGTGGGCCTTCTGCACACCCCACTGGGGGACATCAGGGTGTCCCCAAGGATGGGACATCCCTCTCTCCCCTCCTCGGAGCCCAGGGAAAAGGCGATCCTGCTCTTTTTGCCACTCTGAATCCAGATTCTGGAGGTTAGGAAGTTCTGGAGGGGACAGAGATGGGAGCAGCCAGACTGGAATCAGGACATCCCTGGCTCCGTGTCCCCTTGCCAGTCGTGGAAATAATGGAAAAAATGTCACCTGAAGTCCCTTTGTGTCCACCGGGGGCTGGGTCCTGCCCTGAGGACAGCAATGCCGAGCTTGGAGCGGCCTCGTTTTTGGGATCGGGGCCGATCCCAGCCCCTCTTCCCACACTTGCCATGGAAGCAGCTCCAGTCTGGGGACATAGGACACAGTGGGGGTGGCAGGAGGGGCATCCAGGAGCTCATTCCCGCTGCCTCCCCTGGGGCCAGAGCCCAAATTCCTGTGGCTCCTGGCACTTTTCAACCTGGATTTGGGGGGGAAAAAATTAGGGGAACCAAAATTGGGCTGGAAGAAGTGGGGGTTGTGGCAGAGGGTCTCCAAGGCTGAAAGGGACGTGGAGGGGGACAGAGCCACCCAGGGGTGTCCCCGAGGATGGAGAGGACAAAGTCACCCTGGGTGGAGAGGGGCCACAGAGGAGACAGAGCCACCACAGGGTCCCCAAAGGTGAAGGGGACACAGGGTCAGGGGTGCCCCCAAGGATGGAGGGGGGACACAGGGGACACAGAGCCCCCGGCAGGGCTGTCCCCGCCCCCCCAGCTGGTGCCGGGATGAGCTGGGATTTGGGATTTGGGATGATTCCCTGACGATTTAATCCTCACTCTGTGATATAAATGAATTAACTAAAGCCAATTAAAGACGTTTCTTACAATTCCAGGAGTCTGGAGTGAGTGAGCCAGGATTTGGGATCCGGTGGAACAGGTGGAATTGTGAAGCCTTGAGGGGCGGTGATAAAACTACCCCAAAAATAGGAAACTTCCCTAAAACACCTAAAGTTGGGATTTTTTTGAGGGGGAAATGGGGATTTTAAGGGCTCCTCTTCAGCTTGGGGGTTTCTTGGGAATGAATCCTGCTGGGAAGAGTCGGACTGGGGGAGCTGGTGCAGAGGGGGGATATGGGGTTCCTTTCCCTGAGGTGGGGGCATATGGGATTTCTCTTCCAAGGTGTGGAGGGGGATTTGGGATTCACCTTCCAAGGTGAAAGGATTTGGGACTTCTCTCCCAAGGTGGAGGAATTTGGTGTTTCTTTCCCCAAGTTTTGGAGGGATTTGTGATTTCCCTGCCAAGGTGGAGGAAATTTGGGACTCCCCAAATTTGGGGCTTTTTGGAGTTCCCCTCCCAAATTTAAGGGGAATTTTGGCCCCCCTTCCCAACCCCATCCCAGGGGTTCCCCCACACTCACCTTTCAGCCCGACCCCAAATTAAAATCAACAGATACAGCTCATTTATTTAAAAAAAAACCAACTAAAATATTACACAATTCCCACAATTCCCACCAGTTCCTTATAAAATATTTTGGGATGGGGGAGGGTCTCCAAAAGGGTTTTGTCCCCCGAGGGACTCTGTCATCCCCCTCCCTTAAAGGCAGCCAGAGGGGTACAGACCCCCTAAGAACCCCTATTTACAACACGGGGAAGGCACTGAGGGGAGTGTCGCTCAGGGGACATTTGGGGACATTTAGGGGAGGTCCCACCAACAGCTGCCACCAGGCGCCCCCCCCCCCCCTTGGCATCAGAGGGGCTTCAAATGTGGGAATTCTGGGGGTTTTGAGTACAAAGAAAGGCACAAAATGCCCCAAAGTCTTTGGAGGGGAGGGGGCGGTTGGGGTGTCCCTCTCCATGTCCCTTTTTTGTGGGTGGTTTGGATGTCACCCCCGGACTTTGTCGTAGTCGCTCACCATCCTCTTGATGTGGAAGAGTTTGTTCCGGAGGGTTTTGGTTTCCTGTTTTTTGTCCTGGTATTCCGGGCTCTGGGAGGGAGCAGGGATCGTGGTCAGGGCTCAGGGATGCTCAGGAATACCAGCAAACACCCMAAAAATGGGGGACAGGGCCATAATCTGTGCCAAAACTCACCCGCTTGAGGTCCTTGAGGTGGTTGTACTCCTCGGCCAAGGCCTGGGGGGGACAGCGGGGTCAGGAGAGGAGAGAGGGAATGGGGCGGGGACAGAGAGGGGACAGGGAGGGGACGGGGGGACAGGGAGGGGATGGATGGGCAAAAAAGAGGGGAGCAAGGGGGGAAACAGAGAGGGAGCAAGGGGAGGGAGGAGAAGGGGAACAAGGAGCGGAAATGGGGACAAACAAATGGGGAAAAAGGGAGGGAAAAGGAAGGGGACAGAGGGTGTCCCCACATGTCCCAGCACCTCCCTCACCTGGTACTGGGCGCTGTCCTCGGGGACACTGTCCAGCTGCTTGCCCAGCTGTGCCAGCCTGTCGTTGACCCCGTCCATGTGGGCGCAGAGCTCCTTGTAGCGCCGCAGCTCCGAGTCAAACTCCTGCTTGTACCTCTGCCGCGTCCCGTCCGACGAGATTGGGGGGTACAGCCTGGCGTGGGGGTCACTGTCAACATCCCCTTCCCGACCCAACCCTCGGGGGATCACTCCCACTGCCTTTTCAGCCCGACCATGAATTAAAACCAACAGATACAACTGATTTATTAAAAAAAAAAAATAAAAATAAAAATACTACACAGTTCCCACAATTCCCACCAGTTCCCTATAAAGTATTGGGATGGGGGATGGTCCCCAAAAGGGTTTTGTTTCCCAGGGGGGCTCTATCCCCCACAATCCCTGGACACTTTAGGGACATCCTCCTCCTCCGGGGGTGTCCCCGAGTGTCCCCACCTCACCTGTCCCATGGCTCCCGGTCCCGCTCGTCCCCGGACTCCACGGCCGTGGTGTAATCGGTCTCRTACTGGGATTCTTCCAGTTCGGGGTTGCGGCGCCGGCGGCGGCCCCGGCGGGTGGGGGGCTTGGAGAGGGGCTGCTCCCGCCCCTTGCCCTCTGTGGGGCTGGGGGGCTGCTCCTGAGGGGGGTCACTGTGGGGTGGGGGGACAAGGGGACGGGGGGACATGGGTTTGGCACGAGGGTTGGGGATGGACATGGGGATTTCCTCCTTTTGGGGGCTTTTTCACCCCTTCCCGACCCCTCCCACCCTCTCCCAAAAACCTTTCCACCCTTTCCCTACCCCTCTCACCCTTTCCCCTACCATCGTCTCCCACTTCTTGCCCATATTTCCCGAGCCCCCTGCCTTTTCCATCCCTTTTCCGACCCTTCCCACCCCTTTTCCTGACTCCTCTCCCACCTTTTCCATGGCCCCCCGCGGGTGCTGAGGGTTCCAGGGGGCCCGAAGCCGTTTTGCGGGGGGTCRCTGTATGAGGGGGGGCTGTAGGGCGGGGCCGTGACGGGGCTCGCGCCTTTCTCCGAGTACGCCACGGTGGCGGTCTCGTCCTGCACACTCGTTCCACCTGACACGTTCTTCACCTGCAGCACGGGTTTGAGATTTGGGGAAAAACTCACCTGGGATAAAGCAGCTTCAGCCCGAGGTGGGCAGAGAAATCCCCAAGGAACCCCGCAGCAGATCAGTGGAAATGAGGGGTTGTTGTCCCACCCTGAAGTCCCCTAAATCCCTCAGTGACATCCCCAGATGTCAGAAATCCCAGCAGCTGCTGCAGRAGCTTTTATGGGGTCACCCCTGGGATCCAGGGGGACCCCAAATCCAAGGAAACCCCTGAAAAAAGTAGGGACAAGCCCTGGAAGTGTGGAAGTGGAACATCCCCCGTGGCTCGGGAGTGGGGCAAGGAATGGGGGGAACCCCTCTGGGTTTGGGGCTGGGACTGGGGAAGGACCCAGAGACCCCAAACCCCCATGGAAAGGGTGGGGGTCCCACTGGGGGACAGGGACAGAGCGACACAACTTAAGGGGTGGTGACAACCCCAGGGTGAGCTCCCCCAAGAGCTGGGGGGGCTGCACATGTTCCCTGCCCCCCAGGGCTCCTCCAGAAGGACAAGGGACATCCGGCTGTCCCCATTCCTGCTTCCTTCCTCCCCTTTGTGGGTTGTTTGTGCCGGACACCGGTCTCTGCCGTCTTGGTGGCCCTGGGGACATCCGGCCGGTCACACCATTTCCGTCTGTGTCCACCCCCCACCCGTGACTTGGGGCSCCAACAGGTGTGTCCCCAAGTGCCACCAGTGGCCCCCACCCGCTCCAAAGGTCGCCCCGTTAACTCCGTCCCATAAAAAGCGGGATGTCCCCAGAGGGGCAGTCACACCCCGAAAGCTCCCTGCCACAGGGCATGTGTCACCCATGGGTGACACCACATGGCACAGAGGGTGGCACTGAGCAAAAGGGACATCCCCCGGAGTGGGTGGGGGTCCTGTGTCCCCAAAGGGGCAGGAAATGCCTCACAAGGGAGGGACTTTGAGCAGATAAATAGCAAAAACCCCAACAAAGGGAAAGGAAAAAGAGAAAATAAATATTGGGAGGGAAGGAGGGAATGGAAGGGGGGGTGTGGGGACGCTGAGAGGTGTGGGGACACAGGGAGGGGCATGGGGACATGGGAAGAGGTGTGGGGACATGGAAATGGGGTATGGGGGGGACAGAAAAAAAGGAGTGGGGACATGAGGGGACACAAGGGGTCACATGGACAAAGATACTGGTGGACACAGCCACAAAGTGAGGTGGGGCGACATGGGGGGACACCCAAAACCAGACATGGGGTCACACAAGGGGACACGTGGAGAGAGGTGGGGAACACAAAGTCCCGGGGGAGGACACTTTCCAGAATTCCAGGGGCTGGACATCAACTGAAGGATGGGGATGAGGATGGAAGGGGACAGGGACAGGCACAGGGCCAGGGCCAGGGATGGGAACAGGGACAGGGACAGGGACAGGGCTGCAGGCCCTGGGGAAACCTGGGAAAGGTCCCCAAAGCCACTCTCCAGGCCAAAAGCACATTCCCAACCCTTCCCCAGGGAACGGTGCTGACAATCCCAGAACTCCAGGGCAGGAGGTGACACATCCCAGGCCAGGCTGGGGACACTGAGACCAGCGTGGAGATGGGCCCAACATCCCCATCCGAGTGCCAGGGGCTCCTGGAAGCTGGAAATCCCTGGTTTTCCCAATGCCACATCCACAGGAATCCGGGTTAATCATTGGCCAGACCGAAACCATGCATGGTGGCTGAGCAGTGTCCCCTGGCAGTGTCCCCTGGCAGTATCCCCAGGCCAAGGGGATAGCCCCCCGGCACAGAGCCCCTGGCTCTTGGCCCATCAGATCCCCCATTTGGTTTTCCAGGAGTTTTGGAGACCAGTTTGGCCAGTTTGGAGAAGCTTTGTGGGGAAAAAAAAGCTGGGACAATGCCGGGGTGACAGGGAGGGACACGACGTGACAGGGAGAGACAACACAGGTGACAGGGACCAACATGAGGTGACAGGACCAGGCACTGGGGCAAGGGGAGGGGATCCCCACACAATCCTGGGGCCCCAAACCCCTTCCTGTGCTCCCATCTCGACTTCCAGAATGTTTGGCCCTGCTGGAAAAAGGCAGGGAAGGATCTCCTGGAGCCTCCTCCCAAAATTCCCAGCCTCCCCACTTCCACCCCAGGACTCACCCACTCCTCCACGTTGGGCCCTTCCTGGACCACAGGAATTTTATCCCAATAAATGTTGGGTTTTCCGTATTTCCAGATTTTGCTCCGCGTTTTGTGGGCGAAGAAGCAGATGAGGCACAGCAGGAGGACAATGAGGAAGCCACAGACGATGGCCACAGCCTGGAGGGGAGGAGAAGGGATTTGGGATTCCTGGCATCCCCCTGAGATCGGCAGGAATTGCTACTTTCCTCCCCAAAATCCTTCTGATGTTGGACTCCCCCCATCCCAGGATCTCTGGATGGCCTCTCAGGGATCCCAGAGACTTTGGGGCTTGGGAGAGGATTGAAATAGAGTGGTTGATTTTCCCATGGGGGTGGGGAAGATTTGGGATTTGGGAAGGAAAGGTTTGGGATTAGGGAATGTTTGGGATTTGGGAAGGGCAGGAAAGATTTGGGACTCGGGAAGGACAGGGAAGGTTTTGGGTTTCAAGAAGGACAGGAAATGTCTGGATCTTCGGAACAGGGAAGTTTTGGGACTCGGGAATCAGCCTGGCCCCCTTGGGCACCTTCCCCCCACTCTGCCCCGCACCAGCCCCAAAACCCCACGATCCCAAATCACTTCTAGGATCCCGATTCCTAAAGCTGGGCCCCGCTCGGCCCTGGCAGGGCTCGGGAGTGGCGGGACCTTGCTCCCCCCGCGCCGGGAGCAGCTGGAATGTGGCACTTCCAGCCCGGCCGGATGGGAACCGGCAGCGCCGGCCCGGCCCGGGTGCCACAGGCGCTAAGCGTCGGGGTTGGCGACAAAGTCTGGGGGGCTCCGGCCACTCCAAAGCCCCCTCGGGGTCCCCATAGTGGAGATGGCACCGTCAGTGCCTGCCTGGCACTGTGACCCCCCCCCCCAAATCCCACTCGGCTCTGCCTCCGCCCCAAGATTTTTACAATCGGGAGAGCACAGTTCYCGAAACCGGGTCTGTGTCCCAGCCAGGGCTTGTCCCCTCCCCGAAACTCCCGGCGCAGCCAGAGGGATCATCCCCGTGTTTTCCGTGTCCCGGGATCGCCCCGGTTCCTCTCTCCCAGCCCTGGACTGTCCTGGTTCTTCCCACAGCCCTGGAGTGCTCTGGTCCCTCTCACGGCCCAAATTCATCCCATAAAACCAGTGCATCCTAATTTCTCCCTAGTTCAACCCAGTTCTTCCTGCAGCCCCAACTCATCCAAGCTCCTCCCATGGGCCTGGATCGCCCCGATCCTTCCCACACTCCTGGATTGCCCCAATTCCTCCCCAGCTCATCCCAGTTTCCCCCACAGTCCCAGGTCATCCATTACAGAACTCTGGATCACCACATTCCCCCACTGGAGCCACTGAAGAGTCACCGGCACCTCCAAACCCCTTTAATCCAGTGGGAAAACCCCAAAAGCAGGATGAGGATCAAGGGCTGGACACCAAAGAGTGACCGGGCACCAAATCCCTTAAATCCAGTGGGAAAACCCCCAAAAACAGGACAAAAATCAAGGACAGGATGAGAATCAAGGCTTGAACTCCAAACAGTGAGCGGGCACCAAACAGTGAACGCCAAACCCCTTAAACTCAGTGGGAAAATCCCAGGGGCCAGACAGCAGCCAAGAGCCAGCCATGTGCTCACCTCTCTCCCTCCCACAAATCCCATTTGTCCCCAAACCCATGGAATCCACGCACCTGGGGGTSCCTCCCTCGCCCCCGGGGGTCCCTCCCTCACCTCCTGGGGGTCCACGGTGCAGTAGTGGTACAGGTACTGGCTGAGGACGGCACCCCCGCTGTACACCTGGCTGCACATGGCCAGCAGCGGGCTGTAGTAGTAGCTGCCGCTCATCTGCGCCTGGGGGTTGACGCCCACCACGTAGACGATGGTGGCAATGAGCATGACAAAGGCCAGCACAGCACAGGCCACAATGACCACGAGGTAGAAGCGGCGTGAGCGGGAGCCACTGGCCTTGCTGAGGCTGGCCACCAGCAGCCCCAGCTGGGCCAGGAAGCAGAGCACGGCCATGGCGATCATGAAGCCGTTGGCCGCCCGCGGGTTGGTCATGCCACCGTAGTAGCTGCCATATCCATATCCATAATTCACCCCACTGCCGTAGTAGCCAGAGCCGTAAAAACCCCCTAAACCATTTCCAAAAGTGCCTCCAAAGCCGTAGCCGTATTCCCAGGCCAGTGTGGAGGCCACGCAGGCAAAGATAGCGATGCAGAGCAGGATGACCACAGCCTCCAGGATCCGCACCACACCGGGAGGAGATGACCACTTGTAGAAGTGCTGAGGCACGTCCTCAATGTAGTAGGAGCCCGGTGGTGGTGAGCGGGTGCCGAAATCGTAGCCGTAGTCCCCCGTGGGTGGTCCATAGGCCGTGGGCGGGCCGTAACTGATGGGGGGCCCGTAACCRGTGGGGGGGCTGTCGTAGGGTTTCTTGCTGAACATCCTGGGGGAGCCTGAAAGGAACAGGGCCAGAGCCGCTTGTGGGAGGTTCCGTCACCAGAGAGGACTTTGCTCCCCTCGTCACTGCCCAGAGTCACCRCAGCTCCGTAGGGAAACTGAGGCACGGCCGGGAGGTGACTCAACAGACAGTGCCACTTCAGCCACGCCAGGCTTGCTGTCCCCTCCCCAGTACGCCAGAGCCGGCTGAGAATTAACTGGGATTGTTGGAATTCTAACAAAAGCAGCCAAGTGCTTACCCGAGGCCTGCGCTGGCCCCAAGGTTGTCACCTTAAGCTGATCTGGGGGAGATTAAAAACAAAAATAATCAGAAAAATAATCATCAGAAAAAAAAGAAATTACAGAGGGCATGTGAGTGATAGCCTTGAGGAAAGTGGTGAACAGGGGCTGGAAAATCTGGCGGGGGGGATTTCAAAATCAGTGTGGGGACCCCCCCCCAGCCGGCACAGAGACCCCAACCTGGAGTGAGGAGTGGCACCGTGGAAAACTGAATCCCTGTGGGAAACCCGAATCCCTGTGGGAAATCCAARCCGGTCTCCCGCTCCGGCGGTACTGGAGCCCAGCAGCAGCAGGGTTGGACCACCCGGGAGGCCTCAGGGGGACCCTCACCAAGGTTGGGCACCGGGGTCTGCGGTGCCACCGCCGTCCCGGAGGGGGGCCCGGCGGTTTGCGGATGCTCAAGGATCCCGACACTCCAATCCCATAAATCCCCAAATCCCCCGATCCCTGTTGGATTCTTTGGTCTGACTCCATCGGGGATCCCCGAGAGACTACCGGGACCTCCCCCAGCGGGACTAGCGGGTCTCAGAGCGGTGACTGAAGCGCGATGTCCCCGGGGGCGGCGGGGAGGGAACGGGGCTGGGAGGCCGGGGCTCCCTTCCCCGCTGCCGAGACACCGGGCGGGCACGGCGACCCCCGGGAGGAGCCGCGGTGTCGGTGAAGGCTCCGGTACCGGTACCGGCGGGGAGCACGTAGGGACTTTCGGTGTTGTCGGGGAGACCGGTACCGGTGCAGACACCGGGGGGGACCCCGGTGGCCGTTCTCGCTGGTTTCCCGGGGGGATCCCGTTACCGCTGCGGAGCTGGCCCGCCGGTACGGGTGTGGACAGCGGTGAAGAACCCGGTACCGGTGTGGAGCCGATGTGGCCCCCGGTGCCGGTGGAGACCCCGGTACTGTTTTGGAATCCCGTGGCCGATACCGGCGGGGACCTTGGTGCGAGGGGGACTCCGGTACCGGAGGGAAGCCCAGCGCGGCCCCCGGTGTCGCTGGGGTGGCGTGGAAGCACGAATCCCCCCGCGCAGCGGGGAGCGAAGAACCCCGGTGCGCCCGCCCTCCCGGGACCTCGCTCGCCCCGCGCTGCCGCTGGTGGTACCGGTGCCKGTATGGGTGCCGGTACCGAGGGGGGGACCCGTGGCCGCGGACCCACTCACCTGCCACCTCCTCCGCCGCTTTGTTCACCTTAAAATGGCAGCCGGGAGCGGCGGAGGCGGTGGCGGCGGTGGCGCTGCGGGACCGGCCCCGGGTCCCGCCCCCGGGGAGGAGAAGGGGGACAGAGCGGGGAGCACCGGGTCCGCCCCCGGGCAAGGAGGCGTTAAAAGGGAAACGGGGAGCCCTGGGAGGCTCCTCCGGGAGAGTGGGGAAATTTGGGAGCGAAGTAAAAGGAGGGGGAGGGGGGAATTAAATTGGGGAGTAGCAAAGGGGGCGCGGGGAAATTGGGGACGGGGGGTCCCCAAGGGTGATGGGGTGGGCTTTCGAGGACGCCCCGGCCACTATGGGTGCCCCAGGATGAGCGTGAACCCCTTTCCCCAAAAAAAGGAGACTCCCCAAAAGACCACCACCGCGTTAATTAGACTGATTATTAAATTAAAGCAGCGTGTGCCGCCTCGCCCCCTTCCCCTGGAGGGGGTCGCCAATTCACGGAGGTGACAGGCTACACAGCCCGGGGGACAGGAAGGAGGTCGGAGCCCCCGAAGCTCCCCAAAGACCCAAAATGAGGGGTGCAATGGATGGGTGAGCTCCGGGTTCTCCCCGCGACACCGCCTCCCCCTGCCCAGCCCTCGGGATGACCGAGGCGGGGGATTGTCCCCATTTGGCCCCAACAGTCCCGGCCTTGCGCGGGCTCAGGAGCCGCCGGGGTTGGCGGCGGTGACACGATCGTAGTCCCGGATCCGCGCCTTGAGGTGCGTCAGCTTCTCCTTGAGGTACTCACAGCGCTGCAGCTTCTCCAGCCGGGATAGATCCTGTCGTGAATCCCGCCGGGAATGTCGCCGCGGGCCGGGAACGCCATGGGGATCCCCTCTGCCACCCCAACACTCACCCTGAGCCTTTCCCTGCCCACCCTCCTCTTCCTCGCTGCGACAGGGACAGGGACATACCCCGAAGCCCCTGGGGCAGTTCAGCCCTAAGGAGGTGGCGGGAAGTGGCAGATTTGGGGGGGGGGGGGGGCTCGGGGACAAATCCAGCGCTTTCAGCACAAGCGGCAAAACCTCTCCGCAGGGCACAGCCGAGAAATTCCAGCGCTCATTAATTTTCCAGGAGCTGCCCGGTGTCACCTGGAGCACCGCTGGTGCTACCAGAGCTCCTGTCTCCTCATCACACTCAACTCTGCCCTGTGGCCCTCCGGGAACCCACCGTCGTACTCGGGGAGTGACAAGTGACACGGAGCTCACGGAGCAGATCCAGGTATTCCTCCCGCTGGTCCTGGAAAACCCCTTTGGACCCGTCCCGCTGCCGGGGGCTCCGGATTGCTGGGTACCTCCTGCGCCCCAAAAAGCCACGAGGCTCGGATTGGGTCCCCCGGGGTCCGCTTCACCTGTGACACCCTCGTGATGGGGTCCCTGAGGGGTCGTGACCGCTCTCCCCAAGGAGTCACTTACAGCACATAGTCCGGGACTGCGCTGTGCCGCGGGGACAGTTTTGGGGCGACAGCGCTGTCTGTAGCAGAACGGACGGGTCCCCACGGTGTCACCACCTCATCCTCAAAGGTGACACGCCTGGCATGGGCTGGCGGCGTCTTCGGGAGGAGAGGGACGGGGCTGAGATGGCATTGTCGCCGTTCCGGGGGACATGGCGGGGACCACGTGGGGCTGTCACCGCTCCCGGGAACCGCAGGACCGCCGAGGGTCTCCCGGCGCTTCCAGACCACCCCTGGAGGAACACAGCCGGGATGAGCGGGGACGGGAGCTACCCCCGGGCACGGTGGCACCGATCCCGTGCCTCAGTTTCCCTCGCGGGGCACCTGCAGCCTTCCCTTCCCGGTAGCCTCTGGCACCGGGAGCTACTGTGTCACGGGACAGCCAGCACTTCCAGGGCCGCCACCACGTCTCAGTCTCTCCCGGTTTGGATTGGCATGAGCAGAAAACACCTACTGGTGCCCCCGAGAGACGCCCCCCCTACCCCCACACACACCCCCGGGAGTGCGTGGACGCTCCGTGACCCCTCCTGTCCCCGTGCCAACCCCTGCGGGACCATGTCAGGCTTCCAGTCCTCGCCACCGCTGTTACCTGCCCGTCTCATGGCAGGGAGGGAGGCGACAGGACTCCCGGGCCCAGGTCGATGTCCTCTGGCTGCTGCCCAGYAGTATCACCAGCAGTGCCACCAGGCACCGCCACCACCGCCAGGCACTGCAGTTTAATCATTGACAGCTTCGTGCCACCCCCAAATCGTGACAGGGGGCCCCGCATGGCCACAATGAGGCCACCGCCGCTCCCCTCAGTGTCCCCACCCTCCTGGGCTGCTTAGGGAGAGCCGGGGCACCCCAAAAGGGTCCTTCATAACCCCCCCTAATCTGCCCCCATTGGAGGAGTGGCACCCACCAGCCCTCCCCGTGTCCCCCTCCCGCGGGATTTGGAGCTCCCCACTGTCACCCCCACGAAGTTCCCTGAGCAGCGGGAGCCCCTGGGGGAAGAAAAAATCACCAAACCAATTCCCCCAAAACTCCCTCGGAGCCCTCCCCACCCCGCCCCAGGGCGAGCAGAGAGCGACGCGTCCAGTTCAGGCTCCTTTAATGTGCGCCCCAGCCGCCCCCCCCCC